TCCTCATACATGTCCTGCTGTCCTCATGCATGTCCTGCTGTCCTCATACATGTCCTGCTGTCCTCGTACATGTCCTGCTGTCCTCGTACATGTCCTGCTGTCTTCATACATGTCCTGTACCAGTCTAACATACTTCTCTGCCACTCCAGATCTCCTCATGTAACACCACACCTCCTCCCTCGACACTCTGTCTGATATTTTTTCTAAATCCACAAAGACACAATGGAGTTCTTTCTGACCCTCTCTGTTCTTCTCCATCATCATCCTCAAAACAAAGATGGATCTGTGGAGCTCTTTCTCTTTCTCAGCATGAAACCATACTGCTGCTCACAGTCACCTCTCGTCTAAGTCTTGCTTCCACAACTCTCTCCCAGATCTTCATCGTGTGGCTCATCATCTTAATTCCCCTGTAGCTGCATCAACTCTGTACACCACCTTGTTCTTAAAAATGGCCACCAGCACTTCTTCTCCGCTCTTCAGGCATTTTCTCATCCTCAAATATGTCATTGAATATTTGAATATTTGTTCTCTGGGATCGTGCTTGAAGCCTTAAACTAATTTATTGTCAGAGAGACCTGTTTTGCCCCACTCCGGACCCTTGAGCAAGGCCTTTAACCCCCAGCATCTGCTCCCTCGGGCGCCCTAGATGCAGCTCTCTGTTCCACGCAGAGGGCTGTGGTAGCTCAGTGGTCTGTGGTTGCGTCAGGAAGTGTATCTGGCGTAAAAACAATTGCTAAGTCTTTCTGCAAGTTAGTTCAGTGTGGAGACCCCTGAAGGAGGGAGCAGCCAAAAGAAGAAATAAAATAATAATAACAATACCCATAAGTGTGTCCAAAAGGATTTTAGGAGAATTAAAATGATTTTTGGTAAGACCATCTATCTCCTCAAACCCTCTGAAACCTGTAGCTGAAAAGAAGGCATCAGTTTTAGTCATGTTTGCTCGACAGTGGTTGGACACAATGTTTGTGTTTGTTTACTGACACTTTACTTTTGCACAACACCAGTGTGTGTTTGGTTTTTAAAAGATGGGAAAACTGGTGCATTTCTCTTCATTTCTTTGCAGCTTCTTCAAAAGTCTCCAGCGCACACGAGCTGCGTTAACAGCAACTAACTAAGATGAAACTCAAATGCTTTTCTACACAAGTAGACCTTTAAAATAGTCTCCTCGTGCACAAGTGGGTTTTCTTCGAGGACTCTGGTTACCTGCCACTGACCAGAAACATGCACTTTACAATGACTGGTTGCTCTGAACGTTCCCTAAATGTGAACGGTTGTTTGTCTCTGAGTCCCTGTGATGGACAGGGGACATGTCCAGGGTGTCCTCTGCCTCTCACACAGTGACTGCTGGAGATCAAAACCAGTTCCCAGAAAAACAAATGTAGGAACAGAAAATGGAGAAACGGTGGATTCGTTCGTGGTCCAGGTCCACAGACGAGGGAGGAGCATGGCAACGGAAGCTTTTTATGGAGACGTTGAGTCAGACAGCTGCCAGAGCTCAGCAGCTTCTCACCTGACGTCCTCTCTCTGACGATGGAGGCTCCTGATGAAGCTCAGCTCTGTTTTCCACAACTCCTCAACACCTCCTGCACAAAGACACAGCAGTTTAACGCTGAGAACGTTTTTCTTTACGTTGTGTTGTCCCTCGTCTCTTTTCTGACTGTGACTCTCAACCTGCTGGTCATCATTTCTATTTCCCACTTCAGGTGTAAAGAGATACCTAACTAGTATATTCGTAGAATATTTTTAATAGTATATTCATAGAATATTTTTAATAGTATATTCATAGAATATTTTTAATAGTATATTCATAGAATATTTTTAAATGTATATTTATAGCAATAGAAATGTACAGTTAGTGTTTAGTACTGATGCTCTTATTGTAACATGTTTGTGATTATTTCTATAAATGTTCAGATCTAACTTTTTTAAATCACACAACAAATAATACTAAACCAGAATATAAAATATTTAATGCATGTGTTACATTTTAAATATACAAAAAAAGTATATTTTCTGATTTTACATCTTCTTCTTCTGATTTGAACTAAACATATATTTTATAATGCTGCAACAGGTCTTTAGTTGTTTTTAACACTTTTGTTCTTAATATATTTACAGAAACTTCTTTCTTCTCGCAGGCAGCTTCACACCACAACCAACTTCTTCCTCCTGTCTCTGGCTGTCTCAGACTTCTTTGTTGGACTTCTTCTGATGCCGATCCGAATCCTCAGGATGGAAAGCTGCTGGGTCTGGGGGAGCTTTATGTGTGGACTTTACAATTATACCAGTTTTATTATTACATCTGCCTCTGTAGGAAACATGGTGCTCATTTCAGTTGACAGATATGTGGCCATCTGTGACCCCCTGAGTTATCCCAACAAACTGACCCATAAGAGAGTTCAGATCTGTGTTTGTCTGTGTTGGGCCTGCTCTGTGCTCTATAATGGTATGATTCTGAAGGAGCATCTGAAACAGCCAGACAAATATAATTCCTGCCATGGACAGTGTAGAGCTGTGATTGATTTCAAAACAGGGACTTTTGATTTCATATTTACCTTCTTCGGCCCCATCACAGTAATCATGGCTCTGTACATGAGAGTGTTTGTGGTGGCTGTGTCTCAGGCTCGAGCCATGAGGTCTCATGTTGCAGCTGTGAGTCAGAAGGGTTCAGCTCCTGTATCTGCTAAGAGGTCTGAGAGGAAAGCAGCTACAGCTCTTGGAGTTGTTGTCATTGTGTTTCTAATGTGTATTTGTCCTTACTTTTCACCTTCTCTTGCAGGTAAAGACACTTCAAATATTTCCAAACTTTCAGTTATTGGAATATGGCTACTTTATGCTAACTCTTGTGTGAATCCAATCATTTATGCTTTCTTTTATCCGTGGTTTAGAAAATCTGTGAAGCTCACTGTAACACTTGAGATTCTGCGGCTTGACTCTTGTGATGCTAACGTCCTGTAATGTTTGCTCGGTCTGCAACTGGACACAATCACCAGCTTGTCACTTGTTCAGTTTCTGATTTAACAAACTTGAATAAAATGAAAAAATGTGACATTTGGCAACTAGTTATGTCTTTGTGTTGTTGGTAAATTTTCTTATTACTGTTTGGTTGTCTATTTCAATATGTTTAGAATTATTTTAGTTAGTTTATATTGTTCTTGCAACTAAAATCCCCTCAGTTTTCATTGTTTCCAGGTCCCATACCCTTGTCAGACATCTGTAATCAACTGTCCTCATTCAGAGATCTCATCTAGGTGGTTCTGAAACTGCATCCTTCCTGTACGACGTTGTTTGGATTTAATCTGACACGATCCATTACTTGTATACCTGGATGATTGAGCATGGACTTTGTTGTTATCCATCACTTCATTTCTCACCCGATAGCAACAAGGTGCTAGGGCCTCTCTGTGTGGAGCATGCATGTGTTATTAATTCAAAATCTTTTCAAATGTCGGGGCACTGCACTCATAAAGAGGGAAAACTATCAATCCATGATTTACAGGATTATCAGTACCAATAATTATCAAATTATTATTGTTAAGGATTATCAGCAATTATCAGTGATTATCAAAAATCACCCCAAACCAGAGTTCTTGTCCTTGGAGTAATATCACAATTACATTAAAACACGCACGCACGCGCACGCACGCACGCACGCACGCACACACACACACCTGATTTAAGTTTGGCTCTATTTATTGAAATACACTAATAAAGTAACAAGTTATGGAAATATGAATAATGAAAAATGTAATCTTGAAATAAAACGAACATGTTATGAATGGATAAAACAAAGTATGACTGAAAGTTTGGTTATACACTGAGAGGCAGGTTTAACTGAAATTAACAAATGAAATCAAATTAAAAGGAAAGTTCTAAATGTGAAACTTATCAAAGACTCATTGACTTGAACTGCTGTTTCTATCTTTAAGGCACCGTGGTCACCAGTATTTGTCCCACCGAGTCGTACAATCGATTTCAGCTCCTACAGTAGAAACCAGGCAGGTGAGTGGCCGGATCCGACCTCAGAAGCGAAGACCTCCCAAGGTGTTAAGGGACGGGCGTCTCTCTCTGTGGTTGGTTCTTCACAGGTGGGCACTCAAGCCGAAAACTTCTGAGGTGGGAACAGCGTCTGGCTCTGTGCAGCCTTAGAGGTTTTGGAGTGGTCCAATTCTGTGGGAGTTCTAGTTTCTGCCAGCCACACTTTCTCCTACAGCTGCAGCTGATACCCACCGCTACACATCTGAGCCTGGTTTGGAGGACTACTCTGCAGGAGTACAAAAGTCTCTGCCAGACACTCCTTCAGTGCTGGGACATATTATCCCACCTGTGGTAAAGGTAATGGTGACACAAACCTCAGTTTTTAGACCCACTGGCAGGCAGGCGAGCGAGGCTGGAGTTTAAAATAAAAATAATTTATTTTAAATGACAACACAGAAAGACTGGCGAGGCAGCAAAAAACACTAAAAGAGGTCAGGCAGGTCAAAACAGGACAGGCACAGAGTCGGACGGAGAATCAGACAAACAAGAGCAGAGGAGGACTGAGACGTCTGTGCATAACAGAACAATGACCGGAGCAAGTGGACGAGACAAGATCTTTAAATAAGTCAGAGGGAGAGTGAGTAATGAGAGCACCTGGGCAGGTAGCTGATGAGGGACAGGTGTGAATGATAGAGACTGGAGAGGCAGACTGAGGAGAGGGGGAAACTGACATGAAACACAGAGTCAAAATACATAAGGAACAGAATGACACAAGAAGCAGAAAAAGGAGAAATGCAAAGGCAGACAAGGAACAGACCCTGTCAAATGGACAACCACTAAACAGTCTCTTGACATTTTGTCTCTAAATACCTTGCTTGTGATCTCCTGCAGTGACTTCCAAGTCCTTCTAGCCTTCCAAGGCCTCCTTGCTCCTCAAGACCTCAACTCGTTTCAATTGTGTCCCACTAGCAAAAGCCTTCAGCCTGAATAACCAGTCCTTACCCACTACGCAACCTGCTCCTCTCTCCATTGGTACTCACCTCTCTCCAGCTAAGGACCTCCTGGAACCTAGGACCTCACTCTCTCTCAGAGCTCTCCCCTCTGGCTCCAACTGAAAGACATTTTCAGTAAGAGAATCTAACTTGTTCTTTTTCAGCCCAAAACCATTGCACCTGTAAATAAAGACATTTATTTTTGTAACTCTGTCTCTGTCATTCTCTCAATCTGCCACTTGGGGTCAACCTTTAACTAAAATCATGTTAAATTCTTAGAGGATGATTCTCAAAAGGCCAGTTTTTCTTAAAGCAGGCGGCTGTGGCTGAGTGGTTAGAGCAGTCGTCCTCCAATGCGAGAGTTGGGGGTTTGAATCCACCAGCAGTCACATGCCGAAGTGCTTCAGGGCAAGACACTGAACCCTCATCCTCTGATGTGTGTCCCGGTGTATGAATGTGATAAAGCTCTGATTAGTCTCCTTAGAATGATTTGTTCAATTAGCTTTGTAGAGATCTAGTATAGAGCTGTATGAATGGGTCAATGAGGCACAGATTGTTGTAAAGCGCTTTGAGTATCTCAATAAAATAGAAAGGCGCTATATAAGTACAGTTCATTTACCATTTAAAGCTCTGTGTAGCTTCACTTTATTACTGTGCTGAATCAAACCAGAAGTTTCTGGTTGGCGGCTTCTTACTTTTTCTGTTTTGCTGTTTTTTTTTCCATCTTCTTTTTCTCTCTATTTTTCACAGTGTTTCCCCCATTTCCCAAGTGTGATTGGCAGGTTCAAAGATTTTGGAGAAGGCATGTGTTTGGAAAGGTTTATCCAATCAAAGTGACTATTTAAATAAAGGTGGGCGTCTTAGTGATGGTCAGCCAATGATGTTTTTGAGTCTTGGTGTACACATCTCAAACAATGAGATGGGGGGGATTCTACTTCAGAACTTCTGTTTGCCTCAAAGTTTAATACTAATAAAAAAAAAAAAACAAGACAAACACTATGAAAACTTCTACTTAGATAAAACCAAACAATCAATGCTTACTTTAAAAATGTATCACATGTTTAATGCCAATTCATTTAACATATCACGTTCTTAATTTTATATTATCACATTTAAAGTCATCTAAAAGTCATACTACTGATATAGCAAAGAAAATTAGCTTCAACTAAAGAAAATAATGGAGACAACTTTTAGTTATAAGAAACATCCATCCATTATCTTTACCCGCTTCTTCCATTTTGGGTCATGGGGGTCACCGGTGCCCATGTCCAGCAATCACTGTGCGAGGGGCGGGGGACACCCTGGACAGGTCTCCAGTCCATCACAGGGACACATAGAGACAAACGAGACAAACAACCATTCACTCTCTCTCTCTCACACCTAGGGACAATTTAGAGTTACCAATCAGTCTAACATGCATGTTTTTGGTCTGTGGGAGGAAACTGGAGAAAACCCACGCATGCACGGAGAGAACATGCAAACTCCACCTAGAAAGGCTCCCGGACCAGGATTTGAACCGGGGACCTGCTCGCTGAGAGGCGGAAACATAAACATTATAAATGTGAGACTTTTGTTTAAAAGATTTTAAAGGACAAATTAGCATTACTATGTGTTTGATTTAGAATGAAACTTCTGGAAGTTATTGGTGGCTAAAAGAAAACATGGTTATTAAAGCATTTTAGGAGTAAACTTACTTACTGAAGAGCAGAAGACATTGTTTTCACAGAATCAGCATTATACATTATTGAGATATTAGCTCAGATTAGGGAGAGAGTCTGGGAGTCTTAACTGCCTTTTGGGAGAAGTGTTGAACCGTGTTTGGTCCTGAGAGAAGTTTATATAAGGGTCATTTCTTTTAAGTCTAAGATTAAGATAAACTAAGATAAGCTGCCTTCATACATCTCCTCCTACATGTCTCTGTGTGAGTGCAGCTACAGCGTGCAGTCTCAGGACATTATTACCTGCAGTGTTCCCTCAGTGAGGACTGAACTAGACAAAAGGACCTTCTCCTACTCCGCTCCTGTTTCTTGGAATAACTTACAAAAAGATCTGAAGCTCTCAACCTTGACCTCTCTAAGTGGGTTTAATAATCTGTTGGACTCCTAGCAGGGCCCAATGCAGACATGTTCCTGTTGGGCGGCTGTGGCTGAGTGGTTAGAGCAGTCGTCCTCCAATGCAAGAGTTGGGGGTTTGAACCCCACAGCAGTCACATGCCGAAGTGTCCCTGGGCAAGACACTGTACCTGTTGTTGCCTCCGATATTTATCCCATCGGTGTATGAATGTGATAAATCACTGATTAGTCTCTTTAGAATGATTGTTCAATTAGCTTTGTAGAGATCTAGTAGAGTGCTGTATGAATGGGTAAATGAGGCACAGATTGTTGTGTAAAGCACTTTGAGTGTCTCAATAAGATAGAAAGGTGCTATATAAGTACAGTCCATTTACCATTCCTGTTTTTATTTTTTTACATTCGCCTTAGAATCTAGCTGTTTTTTGTTACTTTTCTTTTCTTTTTAAATTTTTTTAGCCAACCTATTTGTTTAAAAACATACAATAAAATTGTATGACTTTTTATAACTGTTTATTGTTGTCGCTGTTGTTCATTGTTGTCATCATTCTTTGTTGAAATCAGGTCTCTCTTTTAAATGAGTCCTTGAGGCTCAATGGGATTTACCTGTAGAAATAAAGGTTGAATGAATGAAAATTAAGAATTTATGATAGTGTGAAAAGACCTAGAGGAGCCATGAATCTGTTAAAGTATGTAAATATTCTGATAGTATCAACCAGTATCAACCACTTCCTTTTTGACTTTGGGAAAGCAAAGAGACTGGTAGGATTAACCACAGGAGGGTTCTTTGATTGATTGAAATTCTTGGTGCGACACCTTCTACTGATAACATCAGCAGATGTCTCTTTGTTACTCTCCAGACCTTGGGTGATTTAATCAGGGAAAACGTTAGTTTGGAAAGAGGGAACAAAGAGGTGATAATGGCTGTGACCACAGCTTTATTTAATGAAGTAAAATTATTTACAAAAGTAGTCAGAATCCTTATATGTGACACTACATATCCCCTGCTTGCAATTTACAACCTGGTTCAAAAGTTGGTGAACCACAACTATTAGTGTCATCAAAGCTTGTGCTCAATAATCCAAGTAAAAAAATAAAAAATCCAAAAAGTTTAGTCTAGTCATCTGAACGGTTTCTTTTAGTGTTGAGACATTTCGTCCTTCATCCAAAGGACTATCAATCCTAGGAGCCACTAAAAATTCAGTCCCACAAGCAGCACACTCCCATAGTGGACCAACCAGTTTTCTGGTGATAAGATTAGATATAAGATAAAGTCCTTTGGATGAAAAATGAAATGTCTCAACAAAAAAAGAAACTGTCCAGATGGCTTGACTGAAATTTGTTGAACTAATAGTGTCCATACCACAGAAGTAGTCCATTGGATGTGAGATATATTTCAAACAGTCAAATTAATAACTCTAAGAAAGGGAAAGATCAAGGTTATTCTATATAAAGTCCAAAGCGGTCCTTTGGAGGGCAATGTGAGGTTGATCTCTGGGAGACTGAGGTAAACCACAGGAGAATTAGGTAGGCTGGACTACATATCTGGTGACGCTTGGTGCCCATCTAACTAAGTATATTACCTATTTGTCATAAAATTGGATTAAAGTAGAATAAATCTTAAAGTATACATATCTTATGTCAACTAAATTGACAAACAATGTCCTATGTGTACTAAGGTGTCTAATAAGGTTAAGTCAGGTCCTCTGGATGGATTCTTCTTTGTTGAAATGTTTTACCTTTTATGCAAAAGACCTCTTCAGTCTGAGGTACTGCAACATGCTCAGTCTTATAAACCGCACCTTCTCATAGTGGAGCAACCAGTTTGCTGGAGACAGCCAAAACTCAGTGGTCACATGCAAAAGGAGGACCATCAGCCTAATAATTGGTTGTTAGTGTCCTGATAGCTGCATGCTATTCACAAAAGGCTGAGTTATACTTGCGATAACAGCAATGAAAGAGGGAGACAGTTGAACACAGAGGCCTCCACCCCTGTTTAATGATGGATGGTTTCTCTTCACAAATATGCTGTCCTTTCCTAACACAAATTTTAACATCAAATTTATACTGGACCACAGCTTGTTTGGACATTGTATCAGTTTTTCCACAGGTTTAACCAGGTAACCAAATATGCTTCTGCTCTGAGGAGGAGCACTGAAAAGGTCAATGTGGGCTTTTTGAGGTTTGGTCAACATCATCAAAGAGGCCTGCCTTTGATACATCGTCCACGACAGGATCCGATCTTACAACCTCCACCAGAATTTTGACAGCATCAATTACATTTTGAGATTCACTGGAAACAGACTTTTCATAATCCTGGGTTGTAAGCGAAACAATGGAGGCCTGATAGTCAGATGTCAAACTTGCAACATCAGAAACATTCACTTGTGACACACTTGGTTGGGTTAGCTGTGTGACCCACTCCACAGTTCTCCTGTCAGAGTCCATATAGTCAGAATCAATCACTGAGCCAACAGCCACATCTTCAGCATCAGGTGAGTTATCTAAACTTCCAGGGTTCACATCCAAGTCTACTTCATTTTCATTCCCACACAGGGCTCATCCACAGATTTGTCATCCAGGTCAGATAGCTCTGTAGCAGTCACAGAAGCAACATGTTTAAGCATTAATAACCTCCACAGGAAGAAAGCTGACCAGCATCAGTCTATCAGTAGGTTCCCCCACCTGTGAACCAACGTCTCTGCAACACTCAAAAATTTCATCCTGCAGTGGCTGTGGCTGAGTGGTTAGAGCAGTTGTCCTCCCATGCAAGAGTTGGGGGTTCGATTTCACCAGCAGTCACATGCCAAATTGTCCCTGGGCAAGACACTGAACCCCTCATTGCCTCCAATGTGTGTCCCATCAGTGTATGGATGTAAAAAAAAAAGCACTAATTAGTCTTTGTATAGATATAGTAGAGTGCTGTATGAATGGGTAAAAGAAAGATGCAAACGTAGTGAAGAGGTCATCGACTACCAGAGATAAAAAAAAACCAAAACACTATTTACATCTCTGAACTAAGGTTGAGGGAATTCAGGCCAGGGTCTTTTTTACTTTGGACCTTGAAAATTAACTGTCCAGGAGGCTACTACCTCCAGGCTGTGAGCTAGCCTTCATTTTTGCGTACTTGTCACCAACAGTCAGCTACTGATGATAAAAATAAATAAATAAAAATATAACGCCATGCACTCTATAGCTGAGGCATGCATTGTTTTTCAGGGAAAGGTGTACTGCATGTGTGTTTGTGTGGAAGGGAAAGGACCAGCCCAAAGTAAAAAAAATAACTTTTCAGAAGAAATGGAAAAATAATGGGCAGCACGGTGGTGCAACTGGTAGAGCTGCTGCCTCTCAGCAAGCAGGTCCCTGGTTCAAATCCCGGTCCAGGGGTCTTTCTGGGTGGAGTTTGCATGTTCTCTCCGTGCATGCGTGGGTTTTCTCCGGGTGCTCCGGTTTCCTCCCACAGACCAAAAACATGCATGTTAGGCTGATTGGTAACTCTAAATTGTCCCTAGGTGTGAGTGAGAGAATGGTTGTTTGTCTCGTGTGTCTCTATGTGTCCCTGTGATGGACTTGCGACCCGTCCAGGGTGTCCCCCGCCCCTCGCACAGTGATTGCTGGACATGGGCACAGGTGACCCCCGTGACCCAAAATAGAATAAGCGGGTAAAGATGATGGATGGAAAAATAAATCTTTTATCTTTTTATTTTTATATATATATATATATTGGTGGTTTTATTTTGGTTTGTTTCAAAACCTGATTACTTGTTTTTTTGTTTTTTGAGTTTTTTTTTTTTTTTACAAAACGAGTAGATGCCTTGGGACAAAAAAAATCAGTCTGAATTGTTAGGATGTTTTCACACTAGTTGTCTGGGTATTTTGGTTAAGACTGGTTAAAGATGTTATGCATGTCTTTTTTTTTTCTTAATATTGCCACAAAACAAAAGCAGAGAAAGTGCCAGCAGATGATTTTGTCCTGTTGCAGACTGAGCAAACATATTATCTACAGAATGTTGGCATCACAACAATCAGACTGCAGTATTTTAAGTGTTAAAATAAGTTTAATAGATTTTCTAAACCACGGATAAAAGAAAACATAGATCATTGGATTCAGACAAGAGTTGGAATAAAAAAACCAGCTTCCAAAAACTGAAAGTTGAGAATTAAATGATGTGTCTTTACCTGCAAGAGTGGGAAAAAAGTAAGGACAAATACACATTAGAAACACAATGACAACAACTCCAAGAGCTGTAGCTGCTTTCCTCTCAGACCTCTTAGCAGATACAGGAGCTGAACCCTTCTGACTCACAGCTGCAACATGAGACCTCATGGCTCGAGCCTGAGACACAGCCACCACGAACACTCTCATGTACAGAGCCGTGATCACTGTGATGGGGCCAAAGAAGGTAAATATGAAATCAAAAGCCCCTGTTTTGAAATCAATCACAACTGTACACTCTCCATGGCAGGAATTATATTTGTCTGGCTGTTTCAGATGGTCCTTCAGAATCATACCATTATAGAGCACAGAGCAGGCCCAACACAGACAAACACAGATCTGAACTCTCTTATGGGTCAGTTTGGTTGGATAATGCAAAGGGTCACAGATGGCCACATATCTGTCAACTGAAATGAGCACCATGTTTCCTACGGAGGCAGATGTAATAATATAAGCAGAATAATTGAAAAATCCACACATAAAGCTCCCTAAAATCCAGCAGCCTCCTGTCATGATAATTCGGATCGGCATCAGCACAAGTCCAACAAAGAAGTCTGAGACAGCCAGAGACAGGAGGAAGAAGTTGGTTGTGGTGTGAAGCTGCCTGGAAAAGAAATCAAAGAAACACTAAACAGATAACTGAACATTAACAGCAGTAACAGAAAAAAATACAGTTTGTAAAAATTACAACATGTGTCCTACAGCAATAGAACACAATGTGCAGTAACATATGGCGTTGGCACCATATTTTCATCTGCTATTTCATATTTAAGTCCCTTTAGTAAAAAAATGATGCTAGATTTAATCACTGATAACATTATAACTTCAACTGATGGTCACAAGAAGAGTTGTTATTTACTACAATAACACATATACCAGATATATTTAAAGTATACTTCAAAACTACAATTAGTACAATTGTTTCAGTTTATTTTTTTTATACCTGAAGTAGGAAATAGAAAAGACAACTAGTATGTTGAGAGTCACAGTGAAGAAACAAATTAAGGACAACAGACTGTAAATTAAAATGTTGCCGACGTGATGCAGTGGTGGCTTTTTGCAGGAAGTGTTGAGTTGTGGAAAGCAGAGCTCAGCTCCATTCAGACTCTCCATAATCAGAGAGGAAAGTAAATGTGAGATGGTTGAACTCCAATAGCTGATAAACAACAGCTTCATTCTGCTCCTCCTCCTTTCACAAATAACTTCAAGTGATCAATCACATGTTTATCATACAGCTGAGTGTAAAAATGCACACGCCATTCCAAAAAGTTGGAAATTTAAATATAATTTGATTTACAAATGCCATAAATGTATATTATGTTTACAATAGTAAAAAAAATTGTTGTGTCTATTAAATTGCTCGTATTACAATATATACTATCAGTGAGTTTTTTCTGTCACCAGTAAGTTTAATTTATTAACGATTACAAGATGCTGGCAAGAAACTGAAGCCACTGTCGACAGACAGGTAGCTCTAACTCTAATGACAATTTGGAAAAGCTTTTTCTGGAAATGTTCCTTATCAAAGCCAGATGAAGTAAGATAAAACTGAAAAAAGTACATTAAATTTGGGCTTTATACATAAAGAATAAAAAAAGCTATATTTGACATGATTTTGATTAGTGTTTGACCCCAGGTGGCAGACGAACAAGAGACAGGCACAGAGTTTACAAAAAAAAGTGTTTCCTTTATTTACAGGTGATGGATTGGTTGGTCAAAAGTCTTTTCTTATAGATGGAATCTGAGGAGGGGATTAAGAGGTTCCAGTTCCAGGAGGTTTCTTGATTTTAGAACAGGTAAGCAGCGTTGGACAGAGGATCAGATTGTTAGTGAGTAGGTAGCTGGTTCTTCAGGCTGAGGATGTTGAAACGCCGTATAGGGACAAAATCTTGGACGGGTGGAAAACACAAGGAGCGAAGAGGCCTGAGGAGGCTAGATGAGTCCAGGACTTGGGAGTCACATAGGTAGGATGATGTCCCAGCATTGAAGGAGTGTCTGGCAGGAGTTTTTATGCTCCTCCAGAGTTGTCCCTCGAATCAGGTTCAGGTGTGAGAGGTGGCTGATTAGAAGTAGATAGGGTGGATCCTCAAGGAGGAGAAAGTTGTAGCCGGACTGCTGAGGGGTTGATGATTTTAGTTATAGGGAAAGGGCCGATATACCTGAGAGTGAGTTTTCTGGGAGTATTCTTTAAAGAAATGTCCTTAGTGGATAACCATACTGATAGGTAATTTTCACACCTACAAGATAAAGAACCACACAAGGACAAGAGTTCAACTTTTCCAGTGGGATTTTGCAAATAGAGAAGATGGCAGCAGCAGCTGATTTGGCTGCTACTGACAGACTCTGCCATTCTGCACTTTTCGCACTGCTTTTATTTAGCATACAGGAGGAAGTATGAGATACAGAAACTGGTTTCACAAGTCTTTACACAACACCTTCGTGCGAAGAGACTGGAACAAGAATGTTCCAGCGGAATAAATTTCTTCCTGAGAAGAAAGTGAAATACTTTGAGCATGATAACAACTCAAATTCCTTTACATTTCCCTCCTGTTTATCATGCATAAAACACCAAAAACCATGGCGATATTGAACGCACCCAGACAGTGGCCTCCTTGAGAACATGAATCAGTGCTACACATGTGAGTCTGGTTTCCTTGGGAATAACATGTGAATTGTAGCTTGTCAGGGTTTGTGAGATAAGGTATTTGAGGTTTCAGCATGACCCTTACTGTTACTTTGGTCTGGGCCCAGAACAGCATGTTACAAGTGCCATTCCTGATCCCTGGATGAGCAGGGTCACTGTTTTTGGTCACTATACCGGGATACTAGTAATTCTAGGCTCCCAGGGATGCCATGCATTTAGCCTCAGTGACATTCATTGGCTTTGCATCCAGGTGCACCTGGGTAGAAGAGGGTGGGAGTAAAGAGTACATAGAACAGACTTTTTCAGTTATTTTTCTGGCACTGAGCTTCACATATCGATACCATGAATTAGTCTCTTGCGGATGCTTCGGGTCTCAGGTCCACTCATCCTGATTGTCCATGTCAGTCCAGCACCTTTGTCTGGTCACATGTAGACCTATGAGGTGATAGATACTCCATCCACATGCTACAGCCATTATACAGCAGAAAGCCCACCTTACTTGTGGCACTCCCATTACTGTTCAGTATACAGAAACACTGGACCCCTAGAAACCTAAAAGAACAAGGATCTTTTGGTTTCTTCATTAATGTTGAGCCACCCCCTTCTATACAGAGAGGCCCCTTTGTAGTCAGTCTTCCCCACTGTTCCAAAATTCTAGGGATCCAGCACTTTCAGCAACTTACAATGGCTGAGATGTATCCAGCTGGGTCTTTCAGCGATCTTTATTGCTGTTGGTGTAGTCAGCAGTACTTGGAATGGGCCCTCCCACCGAGGACTGACCCAAGTTTTTTGCTTGATGGCTTTGATGAAGACCCAATCTCTTGGCTGGATGAGAGTTGTTTCCTGTAGGAGAGAAGAATCAGAAGGCAGTAAATTTATCTTTAGCACTTCTTTCTGTTTTAGTGTCTTGATCATGTAATCTGCCAATGTTTGTTCTTCTTCTGCTTTTTGTAGGTCAGGTGAGAACAAAGGTAAATGGTATGGCCTGCCATGAACAATTTCAAAAGGAGTCAGACCAGTCAGATGTTGGGGTCATTCTCATATAAAGTTTCACCAAGTCCAGACACTCTGGCCAGGCTCGGCCTGTTGTCTCCATGCACTTTCTCAGTCTGCTTTTTACTGTACCATTTGTTCTCTCTACTAATCCTGTGTTCTGTGGGTGGTAGGCACAGTGAGTTTTTAGAGACAATCCTAAATGTGAGGCCATTTTCTGTATGACCTGGTTAACAAAATGTGGACCATTATCACTATAAATGGTCTGTGGGATGCCATGTGTGGGAACAATAGTTTTGCATATGGCTTTTGCTACAGTAATAGCGTCTGCACGTTTTGATAGGACTATTTCAATCCATTTTGAAAAAGCATCCACCATTACCAAACAGTATTTGTAGGGTCCACTTTGAATGAGTTCAATAAAGTCCATGTGCATATTCTGAAAAGGATAAGATGGTGTTGGGAAAGAGCCTCTCTTTGGTCTCATATTTTCCTTGGATTATGTTTCACACACACATGACATGCTTTACAATATTTTTTTAAATAAGATTCAAGTCCATATGTTGTGAAATGGTTCTGGATAATAGACACCATCCCTCCTGTTGACACATGGCAAGGCCCATGTGCCACAATTGCTGCTGCTTTAAAAAGGGATTTAGGCAATATTGCTTTATCATGAACATGATAGATTTGGTCAGTGTTTAGTGTGGCTCCTTTGGCCTCCCACATTTGTTTTTCTTGTTTAGGGGCTGTAGTTTGCATGTCTCTTAATATTGTTTTATCAATCAGGTCACCATTTTGTTCACAGGATAAGTAGGATGTTCCATAATGTCCGGTGGCTGCGGTTTTAACAATCTGGTCAGCCAGTCTGTTTCCATTTGATATTGAATCTGTTCCTTTTATGTGGGCTGCACATTTGCATACTGCATGAAGCTTGTACATGGTTTTTTGTTGTGTGGGGAGCAACACTGTTGCTCCAGCCAGGGACTTTTTATCAGTGCACAGTGCAGTAATTGCAACCACCACAAGGGTTTCTTTTAAGAACTTAGTCACATAATCTTCAGAGGGGTTTAACAACATATTCATAGTAATGTGCAACTGACTGGGGGACATCTGATCTTCAAGGTCCATAAGGACCTTACCTGTCTCTCTTAAAAGCAGGCCAGGTACAGTGGGGTTCTGTGTAGGGCAAAGGTCATAAGAACAATATATATGTCATGTAACTGTTGATATGCATAGACCTGTGTATTTTGTAATCTTGTTGCTCTCATGCCATCTTTGATGGGGACTACAGCAATTCCTAGTTTTGTCATCAAATGTCGACCTAATAGATTTATTGGGCACTGTGGGGAGATGACCACTGGCACTGCCAGGCTGACCACTGTCTCTTCGTCTAAAACACACACAGGTTTTGAGATGTTTTGTCTGTTTGTCAGGTCATCAGCGGACTTAACCAAAATGGAACTGCAAGATGATGTCAAACCAGGGACCTGTGTTTTCAATACTGTTTTACACACCCCTGTATCACAAAGGAAATCAACCTTTACTGTGTTTCTCCTCAATATAACATAAGGTTTTTATTTTCGAGCATTTAACAAGTCCTAGGCTGAGCACACATCCACTACTTCCTCTTCTGTCTCTGCTGTTACAGCTGAGGCTGCAGGCGAGGTTAGTCATGCTGAAAAACCTCCTCTATTGTTAGCACCTCCCCTCGGGTGCTGGAATTACTTTTTCTGACACTCACGGGCCCAATGTCCTGTTCCTCCACAGCGCCAACAGCCATCTGAGTCCTGAGGAGGACCACAACAAAATCCACGTCCTCTTCCTCTGCCTCTGAAACCTCGGGTTCTACCTCTCCCTTGTTGCGGGTCAATGAAAAAGATTTCAGACTCAAGGCACTGATCAACATGAAACACTCCAGAATTCCCTCCAGAAATTCCTCCAGACTTTCTTTTCAACACTTTCTCTGCATGTCTCACCCACTGCATCAATACAACTACTGAGCGTGTGTCTACTTCCACGAGGTGCTTTCTCACCCAGTTGGCAATGTCTGGTCTGAAAGACTGTAACAGTCCATTCTTCAACTGCTGTTGGTATGGCGTTTCGTTTCCCTCAGCAAAGGCAATGCCACTGTGCACCCTAAACTCCTTCTCATATCTCACTTTGAACTCAACTGCGTCTTCTCCAGCCTTCTGTTTTACTGCTGATCTTCTTCTTCTTTCGGCTTTTCCCTCTTCAGGCGTCGCCACAGCGAGTCATCCTCCTCCACCTCACTCTGTCCTCTGCATCCTCTGTCCTCACTCCATCTACCGTCATGTCCGCTCTAACTGCATCCATATACTGTATCTCCTCTTTGGCCTTCCTCTTTGTCTTTTTCCTGGCAGCTGCATTTCTGTTTTACTGCTGATAATGCTGCATAATCAGCTCTTCTAAAAGCTTGCCTCACTCTCTCACAAAGAGCATTCCACTGATGTTG